TGCTTGCCGCAACGTGAACGTACAGGTATTTCCTCAATAGACGTGTCTTACATGGTCTATGAGGCCAACATGGTCAATATATCGCATGCTGAAATAATATGTAAGGTCGTCATATGCCTTTAAATCCATTGCTAGAAGAATACTTCACGAGACATTTCTACCGAAATCCCTTTTTCACGCAACACATCCAACTATTGACTGCGAATCAAACAGTTTAAGCTGTATCTATTCGCCATTCACAGAAAGAGAGAAGACACTAAGAGGAGCTCAGTGTAAAGCTTTAACTGCCGATAGCTTGGCTGCCACACCGACAGTACCATCTTGTACCCACGTGATACTACGGGTATGATAATGGAACATACTTGCAATAAAAGCGGTTGTCTTCTCTGTTTGGTGCCATCAACGATGGACAGACAAACTACCTACAGTTCCAATGAACCGAAAACCAAAAACTTCACATGCACTTAACAATTTAATATCTTGGAACTTTCTCAGTGATTTTTGTCTTTCAAGTGAATGCGGTTAAGCTATGCGTCATCCAGTTGTCATTCACCCATCCTGACACGCATAACTCATTGCCATTTTAGTGTTACATTTTTTAATTACCACACTGCAAGCACCTGTCTATTTTCTCATTTACGCTTTTTTCCGTCCATGACCCTATCTCCCCTTTCTCGCAATCCTCAGCACAGCATCCAGTTACTTGAAACGGTGTACACCTTACTGAGCTGTTGTTGCTGTCATCGTCATCCGGGGTATGAGAGTGAAGGAAAGATTACCCAGATTATTGATATTTGACGCTCTGCTTCTCACAACGACTTAGGCGATGTTGGTTGCTGCGGCAAAGGTCATATTCCTCGTAGCAAGCAAGTTTGCCTTAAGCAGCTGAATTAGGGTATGATGTTGACGTCCAAAAGGATCTGCTTGACAAGGATACAAATCACTGACCTTAAGAGGCGAGTCCTGCGCTTTAAAGAAGTTAAGTATAAAGTGGGGTGAAGAAGATTCGGCAAAACTGAAAAAGTATAAAAAAGAAAAGTTTGCAAACGTTCGAATAACCGTGTTTGTTACACCTTCACAACACGCGCAGCCTGTGGTACCGTTGTTCTGAAATGAAACTTAGGGTGCAAAGCTGGGCCTCTCCATTCCACGCCATCAGCCAGGCTGCCTTATTTCAAACGCAGTGTTGTGTGACAAAACGGACTGTATCCTCCGGTGTCCTTTACCAAGAGGGAAAAGGGTACGTAATCTGGCAGGGGTTCAAATCTATGATTTTACAACCGTGAGTCTGACGCTCTACCGAGTTACCGCTATTGAAGCTAGCCGTAAGACTGACAAGATATTCAATAAAACACATGGTACTATAAACGAAAAAAAGCACCTAATTTAGACTGATAATTACCTTCCTCCAATGACTTGGATCAAATACATAATATGTTCCTCGTTCGTAGGCCGTGCTCTTCTCGACGGGAATCATTCCCGGTGCCCTAGTGAGCCATATTCGATCCTCCTTATGGTATCGCCAGTCACGATTATACCTTCAATTATGAAAATTCATTAAATACACCTTTGAACAAGCAAATACAATTGCGCGTCAATTAAAACTGACCTTGATATCGAAAGCTCAGTTCGACTCCGTGTCGTAATTCACCTTCGGGAACACACTTTGGCCACATAGCATTAAATAACTCAATCTGGATTCAAGACAAAAATGACAAATGCTGAAAGGATGAGAAAAGGCCGCCATCTTCGATCCCGGAAGAAAACAATGTAAAAATACTTTGCTCGAATCACAACCCAGGTTGGTGATACCTATCTCTACGTTATACTGATACTTGTTTATACACCAAAGCACCGCGGGTGCTCAAATGGCAAGGAACCCTATCCTACTTAAACAGGTTACCATCCACGCCTCTAGAAGCAGGGAGACAGGTTAGCCTAGTGTATACCCCATGCGAATCATTCCTTACTCTACTACTGATGAACACGACCTCTGAATTATTTGCTACACAAAAACCCGCTTGCTGTGCTATTCATTCATTTATACAAGAAACGGGACTCAGAGAGTTTCAGAAGTTAACCTATAGTATCGACTTTGGATGGCAAAGACAGAAAGCCAAAAAAAGAAATAACG